AATATAAATTAGTCTGTTAATTAATTTGAAATTTTCGTTTTGCAGCAAATCTCAAACCTCGAGGACAATGACAAAATGTTTTTCGATGTGGAGGATCAGACGCCATTCACGGGGTCTGACAACCTGCAGTCGTATGCGCCTCTGATCGATGACTCCCCCGTGGAGGGCAACTGGTTCCATCAGGGCGTCAAGCGTGTGCGTCGCGAGCTCACCCGGCTCTTTGGCAACAGCGATGTCCATCACAGGCAGAAGCGCGCCAAGAATCCGGCTGTGCAAAAGGCCAAGCGACAGAATCGCATGATGACCCGGAAGCGGGCGTCCGACGATTATGAGAGCGAAATTGGCTCCGGAACCTATGGCGTGGAGACCGTTATATGTGAGTGTCCAACTGAGTCAGCCAAATGCAATTGGAATAGTAATTTGTAATTTGAATTTTCTCTTCTTCTTTTTACGTTTGCAATCTGTTATCATGAAACGCAGACCGCACACGATTCACCGTCAACGAGCCGTACTCGAACGACTTCAGTGATAAACAGAGCGAGCAGTTCCTCAATCTAACCGAGGAGATCAGCCTGGGACTGCGCGATCTCTTCCGGCGCAGCTACGAGAACGACGACGAYGAAGTGGACTTGCGCAGCACTTTGCTGCAAGTCGGGTAAGTCCATTACATGCAACATTAGTGCCACAAACTGAAGTAGGCCATGCGCTGCTCTGTGCCTCTAGGCGGTCTATGAGAAAAGTTGAATGTGAAATTCGACTTGAAGTACATCAAGAGAAGCCTTAAGCTCTCTAAATATATGCGTTCTATATAGCGATATTCATCCATATTTAGTTTCATTTATTGAAAGAAAAAGAAAAGATTTCGGTTTGCCAAAACATTTAAATTCTGATTGATCTACCAATGGCACTAAATTTGATTAATTGATTGATCTACGTCATCACGACTTGGCTTGATTTAATTTCACTGAAGTTATTATTTCGTTCAGTCGTTTGGCTTAATTTCAATCAGCAGAGCTTGAGTCTACATTTAATTAAAATATTGATCAATCTGGTTGATTGATTATAGCCATTAAGCAATTCTTATAAATCCAATGGTGCCACCTAACGTTTATAAGGCACACGAACGATATGCGTGATAAGCTGAGCGAATGCAATTGATTGATTCATTCACATTAATGATTGACTTCAATCAATACTATGCAATATCATTATATTATTCTCTACCATATATGGACTAATAATGCGCAGAGGAGCTATGTGATTGTCAATCTGATTGATTGATTGATTGATATATATGTATACTTAAAATGAAGCTCTTGTCTTGCTCTCAATCATTCAGCTGCCATCTCTGATTGATTAATGTTTATCCAGACAATTTAAATACTTTCACCTTCTGTGGCTTCCATCCGATTAGTTCGAGAGATATTTGATTGTCAATCAGATTGATTGATTCGTTTAATGATTGTGATCCATATACCCTAACCACGCTCCACTAATCTTAACTAGAGCTTAGCTGCATCTCTTAATGATATGCAGAAGGACTGTTTGATTGTCAATCCGTTTGATTGATGAACTGATTGATTGCTTAATACATATATTGCAAAAATCAGCTGTCGCCATGCTCTCAATCATCTAATTACTATTCCCCTCTCTTGCCTAGGCCCACGAACGACAAGTACAAGAGCTATGTGATCGTCAACCTGGAGATTCCCACCAATGTGGTTGATTTTGAGAGTAAGCTGCGCGAACAGCTGCAGAACTATAATCGCATTGGCAACCAGAGCGCCTCCCTGGACGACGATTTCTACTTCCGCTTGACACTGGGTAAGTTTTGCCTTGGGCACTGCAAGCCATTTCAAAGTTCCTTAGAGCCCTTTTCGAACCGATGCTTTGGTGTTGGCCAACGTAAGCGCTCACGCACACTGTCAAAGCTTTCGGTCTAGTAGAATGATGAGCTTTGAAGCTTTAACCGAGACTAAAAAGCTTAACGAATCGCGCACTTAGCATTGTAAATAAGTAAATAAACCCAAGAGTATGTCGAACTGTTGCTAAACTTAAAACAAAAACAAAAAGCAAACAAAGCATAATGCACTCACCCCCTCCCAAACTCACACTCACACACACACACACACACACCTACACACACACGCTTACACAGATAACCAGTGCAGCAATCCGCGGGAATTCGATATTGAGGAATTCACCTGCGAGTCCGGCGAAATCGAGAGCATACCCTGTGCGAAAATATGCAATCAGCGTGCCGACTGTGACGACGGCTCCGACGAGAGCGAGGAGATGTGCCTGAATCGCCGCTTTCCGAATCCCTATGCACCATCGAAGGGTACGCAGAGCCCGTCCTATGCGGATGGGGACAACGATGCCGACAACGATGTGGATGCAGTTGATGAGGATGGCGATTTGGATGATGATGGCGATGCGGATGTCGACGGTGATGCCGATCTGGATGAGGATCAATGCTTGTCATTGGATCAGCCATTCCAGTGCATCAGCGGCCGGCCATATCAGATTTCCTGCGCAGACATCTGCAACGGCTACAACGACTGCGAAGACGGCTCCGATGAGAACCAGGAGATGTGCGATCGCCGCAACAATCCCGGTCTCTACAATAAGAATGTCCCCGACTGTGAGGAGGACTTCCAGTGCGAGTCGGGCGACAAGCTGAGCACATCCTGTCACAATGTCTGCAATGGCCGCGCCGATTGCGACGATGGCTCCGATGAGGATCCCGCCCGCTGTGCCGGTCGCCCTACCCAGGCACCCAGCAGCAATTCCAGCGATACCCGCCAGGATTACTGCGTCAAGGATGCGTTCTTCCAATGTCGCAGTGGCTCCATCCCGAATATACCCTGTTACGATATCTGCAATGGGCGCGTTGACTGTGACGACGGCTCCGATGAGGAGGCCGATCTATGCCGTCAAAACGTTCTCACCTTAGAGCCAACTTGCACCGGCGAGGGCGAGAATCGAGTGTGCCAATATGCCCGTCCCAACAAGGGTTCGTTTCCTMCCTCTCTCTCTCTCACACACACACTCTCTGTGTCTCGCTCTTACTATATATTTATATTTGTTGTCTCCGTTATTGAGCACGCTGTGTGTTAGGTCAGGGGAATTATACGAACACAATATGTACTAAATATACTAACACTAACCCACACACATACACACACACACGCACACATACACACTGACAAGCCCTAATCTCATTTGAAAGCATGCCAGACTAATGAATAATTAAAACGTAATCTTTTTGTTAGTATTAAGTGTGACTGTAACTGTGCTTCATTGGCTCCCACTCTTTCACTCGCTATGTCTATCACTCTCACATTTTCGCTCTCTATTCTCTCTCTCTCTTTCTCTCTGTGTCTTTACGTATTCAAAATTATCGTACGTATTGTCCCTACTCATACGCTGTCATCTTGTACTCGTTTTCGATAATCTCCAAATGGATATATGTATAGATCTAGATAGATATTTAGAAGATATATCAACGATCAGATCAATAATGACCAGATATTGGTTCGCATTAAACAAATCTTGTCTGGTCTATAGGTAAAACGAGTATATTGGTTTTATGCTATCTATTTGAGTATATTTCTACTCTATACAGAGGGCGTAGGAATTTTAAATATACGAATGAGATTCCTGAAAATGAATAGAGCTTATGTAAATATTGAGTATTGTATTTACCGTAGTTAGACAACTGATTTACCTCTGTTCGATAGATTCACTTAATCGGAAATCACTAGTATGAATCTTGTAATATTTGAAGTTAGATGCTTGATATTAAAAGATCCTATATGCATATAGATAATATAATATTGAGTATCTACAATAGCTGGAAATATAATAGATCAAGTAGCTTATATATGCCCAAGCTCCTCAGGGCTATGGCAAGTCCTGCTCTACAAATAGGTAAAGCCGAAATTATAATGTTGTCTAGTATAAGTTTAAACCTCTATTGCAGACTGTTTTCACATTACTTTTTCTGATCAGAGCAAAGCGGCTTCAACTACTCTGAATTAAATAGGTCAAATCCCGTTTCTATGTTCAGTCGAATGTTCAAATGACTCAGCTCAAGCCAGAAATGTGACATGTTCTTGAGTTTGGTTGGAGCTTAGTCAACAATCGAATGAAAACGTTTCCACACATTACCCACGCTCTATCACTCGCTGTCTCTATCATTCTCTCTCTCTCTCTTTCTCTGTCTCTCTCTTGATATCTTTGTCCCATTCACTCATACATACTGTATACATCTTACGCTCTGTCCCTCGCTCTCTCATATAGTCTTATGAGTTTTGTTCAATGGTTTATATTTGATACAACATTTTTTGATTTAAAAGACTGCTAACTTTTCTTTTGACGTGCCCTCTATGTATATACACACACACACACACACATGCGCACACACACCTACACACACAACATAGATCCTAACGCCCCTGAAACGCCTGAACCAACAGACGAGGAAGATGGCTCCGGCGAACCAGAGTGCCGCGGCGATGCGACATTCTTCTGTTACCGCTCCAATACGCGCGTTTGCGACGAAATGACATGCGATTCGAAAAAAGACTGTCCGCACGGCGAAGATGAGGAGGATTGCGCCAAGGGTAATGATCAACAATTATTGAAACAACAATCAACATTTATGCATTCGCATATCGTTTCATTCGAGAATCGAACTGAAGATCTGTCTAGATCAAGTTTCATTGGTTCAGTCAAAAGAATTGGAATCAATCAAGATCTGAGATTGTCATCATCAGCATCATTGGCTTCATGATCATGTTGTGTCGAACTTTGTTTCATCAGCTATTTTCAAATCGATCTGTTTATGTTTATTTATTTACTGCCCTTTTTGTTCTTTTCTTTCTTTGCATTCGTTTTTGCTTTGCAATTTGTTGCCTTACTTAGTTTGCACCGATGAAGAGTTCAAGTGCGACGATACCTGTTTGCCCCTGCAAATGCGTTGCGATGGCCAAACGCAATGTAGGGATCAGACTGACGAGGCTGGCTGCCCCCCGAAAGAAATTGAGCAGCCCGATATCGATCAAGACCAAGATCAAGATCAAGAAAATGAACACGAACAAGAACAAGATAGAGATCGTGAACAAGATCGTCCGCGCATACCCGACTCCCCGCCACAAGGTGAGTTTTTGCTATTTTCCTTATTTTCCTAATTTCATTCATTTCATTAGTTTTAATTGATTCATCGAATTCGATTTAGTTTTTTCCATTTGAAAATTTTCAATTTCCTTGACTTAACTCAAAGAGATTGAATTTCTTTTATAGATTTCGCATTATTCATTTGCTATTTTATTATAATATTTTGCCCATAACTTATGATTTTTTGCTCCCCTTTACTATATACTATATATGGTATATATATACATATATATATTTGTGTGATGTCAGCGACGATCGCTGATCTCATTGGCATGGGGCCACGTGTCGCTATACAAAGAATTTTCATCATAGAAAAACTATTTGATAAACGAAAATCAAAAGCAAAAAAGTGGAAGAAAATATGTAGAAATATATATATACATATATTCCTTGTGTAATTGAGAAAATATTTAGCATAAACTACATTGGGCAGGGATAATTACAACAAATTTATAGAGCACTAATTCAGTAAATGCGAATTGATTTTCCGTACGTGCCGCTTGGCTGCCAACTGTGTCTAAATTACAGTAATACGCTAACGGTCTGTGTATATTATGTGGAACATATGGTGGATACTGTTCAAATAGACCAAAATCATAAAAGCAGCAAATCGAGCAATTTTCACAGAATTCCCGAAGGTGATTGCCTGGGGAATGCGGAAATGAAACACCCGGTGTGTGAACACTGTAAGATTATAATGTAAGGTGCTCCATTCTTAATTGTGCGCTCTGCTCAATACTTTGTGGTGGGTGTTTCATTTCCATGTTCCACTTGAAACGAGTGGGAATGAAACAAGGACGATCATCAATTCAAATATAAATACAATATATTGATTGTATGCTACAGCACCATTGGAAAGGACTGATGTCCCATTTCCAAACATTCCCTCAACTGTCGAGTTAAAAATTGCCTTCAATTATGGAATTGTAAGGAGTGGCGTTCCATTTCCGTACATCCCTAACGGAGTGAACTCAATCAGTATGGCTGCTTGTGTAAAATGACGTTCCACTATTCCGCCTAAAATAAGTGGAGCTTAGCTACATTCCAGTGTACCACTTGAAACAAGTGGCAATGAAACTAAAGCTACTGGCCCATTATCTATTAAAGCTTAATGCTGTAGCTAAACGTATGGCATAAGCATAGTATATGTTTTGAGTTTAATTTGCTATTGTTGCATTCCACTGTTCCATGATAGTGGAATGTGCCCAGCGAAACAGTGAAACCGAAACGGATTTGAAAGAACACTTAGCAAATGTGTCTTCTGCGATGCTCCGCTTCCATTGTTTCGTTTCTCTTACAAGCTCCTCAATGTTTCATTCCATTAAAGTTAAGCGACTTTTCGCCGTTATGACCCTGACCCGCCTCCAAATACTCGTCGCATAAATTGTGGAAAACAAAACACTGAACAAAATTATGAAAATTCATTTTTCCATTCTCGAAAAAAAAAGTGAAATTACAATTGTTCCCCAAACGGGGCAGCCAGCCACGTCCACGCCCACATCCACGCCCACGTCCACGCCCATGCCCATGCTCACGCTTGGCCAGCAAGCGCTCGTCTAATGAAAAGACGCAGGCAGCGCAGAGCCGAAATCCAAATCACAACCGCAGTTGTGCCATCCACCCCCACTCCAGCGCCACTCCAGCCCCACTCCAGCCCCACTCCACACCCACTCTAGCCCCACTTCAGCCCCACTCACACATGTGGATTACCATATTGCCATGAAATATGCCACAAATGCGAGCAACTGTATGTGCTATGCGCAAGCAACGGCCACTGAGATGCAAAAAGATGTTTTATAGATGCTGATTTTCGCCTGGTTCGCCGGTGGTGCAGGGTGGTGCAGGGTGTTGCCGTCGATTCTAGCTCAAGCAGCAAAAAAACAATTTGCAACAGATTAAAATTACCCCTAAGCGTATTATAAACTTAAATAATCCGCTACACACAGCAACAACAACAACAACAACAACAACGAACAACCAACAGCAACAACAACCAACAACAGCAACCATCAACCACCCAACTGCAGCACGCACCGCCCAGCCGCCCACAAGCTGAAGTGAGCTTTTATTTAGCCAGGCGTCGCTGCTTTTACTACTCGGGGGCGTGTTAAGTGCTGTCAACGAGATTAAATGCAATGTCAGAGGTCACAAAAAAGACTCACACACACACACACACACACACACATATACACTCACGCACACAGCGAGTGTCCAAAGTTGTGTCCTTGTAAATTTAATGAATTTTCGACACTTCACTTGTTGTTCGTTCGGCTTGTGTGAACAAAGTGAATTGTGAACTGAGCACTGAAGCTGGAACTCGAACTGGTTCGGGAACTAAATATATTAATTTCAGATGCCAAAGGCATGCATAGTATGTGACCTTAAGCTAAGCTGTATCTGAAATTTATATAGAGTTAATAATATATCAGACAATAGTGGAATATTTCCATCTTGTTTATTGATTTACAGGCAACAATTGCTAACTCATGCTTAGATATTGCAATCCAATGTCTGTTCTCCGATTTCTAGAATTTTTGCATTCAATTTTTTTTAGAATTTGGTTCAAGTTTGGCTATATTTGATAAGAGCCGCAACAAAATCAAGTTTCCATTGCCAAATATCAAGTTTTATTCGTATCTTATGAAAATTAATTCGATTTTATACATCAATATATATATAGATGCAAATATTTATAGATATATATATGTGTATTTGTATATAATGGTATATATTTCTATATGTAGTAAAAACTTCATAATTATATACTTATGAATATATAGGCTGACTAGGAGGATGACCTTTAGGAGATATTCTATATAAAATACAAATTAATATATTTATCACATATACTATATTGATATATTGATATGTGCTTAGGAGAAATGGAGCTTCCAAAGCGGTAGTACTTCCAAGTGATTACTTCTCCTAGGCAAGTAAGAGACTATGTAAGAGGTTAGGCTGAGATAAGATTATCTTAGTCTCCTAATAAATATTAAGCATTTAAAATGAAAGACTTTTTTTTATAAATTATGACAATAAAACCTATAATATCCTTATAGAGTAATTTCTTGTACTCAACAACTATCTTTCTTCTCTCTTTTGCCCTCACTTCTTCTCATATCAAGGCTCGTCTTTTTTGAAGAGCACCGACTACAACAAGCTAGAAACTGGCAAATGAAGTCATAGAATAGTAACCGATCTTTGATTCCAGCGTGAAATATTCTATATGGGTCTAATGGGTCTACTGTGCTGAATATAGTTTCATCTGTTATTCGGTATTATAGTAGTCTATAATATGCTATGTAATTTATGATTATTATATTATCTTATTATACAATATTATATTAAGCTAGACATTAATCATTATGTATGTCTCTACTAAATATATGAATATCCTATAGGTCGGGATTAAGTATAATGTGTGAACTCTATAATCGTTCGCACGGATGAGCATTCTACAAAGCCAATATACTCTGCTCATTTGGTGAAAGAGTATCAAAGAACAAAAGTACAGTTATGCATATAGAGATATATCTATATGAATCTTTTGCAATTGTATAGTTCCGCAATGCTCTGAAATTAATATGCTATTGTATCTATAGATACATTTCTATCTAGCTACATACACACACACTGATGCATGTATGCATGCGGCATATGTGTGTGTGTGCAGCGCATACAGAGACATATGGATGCATCTAAGTACCCGCATAATTGTTGAAAGAAAACTTCAAGACTGTTGCGACTGAGGCTGAAGCTTGTTAAGGTCGATTCTATTTGGAATAGAGAGTGTGAATGGTGGTGGGGTTGGTGAAGGGCAGGGGCGGGGGGCAGCTGGGTTAGAGGGGTGCTGTGGGGCTATAGTGGAGGCTCTGGAGTTGCAAGCACATTTGTATTTTATTGTTTTGTGGCTCAGTGTTGTGCAATATGAAACTGTTGCAACTGTTGTTGTTGTTTCTATTGTTGTTGTTGTTGTTGTTGCAAGTGTTGCTGCTGCAAAGTGCGTCATTTGAATCAATTGTTGTCGCTGTTGTTGTTATTGTTGTTGCTGCTGCTGTACTTGARCGCTGCTAAATTTTAATTATTATGTAAGCACACACACACACGCACGAGCAACGAAACACACACATGCACACACACGCACACAGCTCTCACAAAGTTGCCACACAAAAAGTTGGCGTTTTGATTCGAAGCAGTTGAAAAAAGGGTGTATGCATATATGTATGTATGTGTGTGTGTGTTTGTGTGTGTGTGCGTGCGTGCTGGCCTCTGCTCAATTTACAGTTATATTTCATATTGTTTTGCTTGTTGTTTGCTGCTGCGGTTGCATTTGGCTTGGCTCTTGATTAAATATTTTGTTTATAATTGTTTGGCATCGATTCTTGTTTTTGGCGCTTGCCGCTTGCCACTTGCCACTTGCACTTTTGGCCCACAAAGCGGGCAGTCCACATGCCATCAACCACAACCCATCCACTTGCTGCTCGCCTACCTACCACCCTCCCCCCCCCCCCCCCCCCCCCCCCCCGTCACTACCCACAACCTGTGCAACACTCTGTAGCAGCAGCAGTCAATTAGCAGCTTTGCTCGCTGTGCTGCGTTAAATGGCTGACGATTTGGCTGCTATACAACACCCACACCCAAGCACACACACACACATACGCACACTGACATACCCTCACACATACTCGCAGACAAGCTCCGGGGACCGCATATGCAAATTGAATATGCTAGCCAACGCTTTTCTTTTCACACTTCAAGCCAAAATAGCTAGAAAAAAACGAGCATAGAAAGATAAAAACCTGCGCAAAAAATTAAGGCAACGAGTGCAAGACAACAACAACAACAACAACAACAGCAGCAGCAGCATCAGCAACAACAACAACAAGCAGCTAGGGCAACAGTAACTGCTGTTAAAATCATAAAAATCATAACAGCAAACAACGTAAGCACGGACAACAACCCATCCCCTCACACACACACAC